CGCAATCGCAATCGCAATCGCAATCGATCGCTTCGCTTTTCTCTCTCGCTCCCTCTCTGTCGTTTTATCTTCTTAACTTGATTCATATCTTTGTCTCTTGATTCATATCTATTCGTACCTATCTATATATAATAATAATAATAGTTAATAACTATTATTATAATAACTATAATAATAACTATTATTATTATATAATGTATAATATATTTATAAGATAATATATACTTATATATATTAATAAAAAAAATAAACACGTGTATGTAAAATAAAATAAAAAAGTTAATTAGAACACATTATTTAAAAAATATAATAAATAAATAAAATAATTAATGTATATTAAAATAAAAATATTTATAAAAAAATTAAAAAATTTGCCGTGTCCCCTGCTGTGTCCGTGTCCCCATTTTTTTAGAAATTGTCGTGTCCCGCGTCCGTGTTCGTGCTTCATAGATTTTTATCTGTTATTTATATAATATAACTCATTTTCATATAATAAATATATATATTTTAAAAAAAATTATTTAACGTATCCCCATACTCGTATCCAAATTTGGATACATATCCACGTATTCTTAATTTTTAATTTTGAAGTGTCCAACTCCTAGATACGCACCTGCACTCGATACCTGTGCCCAAGTCCGTGTAACATAGTCACGAGCATCACAAAAGGTAGTCACAATAGATTGCACATATTCTAAGGCATTATTAGACCGAAATATCTTAATACGTTTCCTCAATTGAGTAAAGATTTTATTATAAAACTTAGAGATTATAGAAGGCAAATCAGATATCTGTTTTATTAAAAACAACCGAGTCATCTGATAGTAATCATCCTAAAAAATAACAAAATAGAAAAAACCATCAACAGTGGGAGTTCTAAAAGGACCCCATATATCTGTATGGACAAGAGCAAATGACTCAGACACACGATTAACACCATGATTAGGAAAAGAACTACGGTGATGCTTCCTAAATTGATAGGCTTCACACTCAATCTGAGAAACATGACTTAAATGAGGAACAAGTTAACTTGAGCTTGGCCAAAGAGAGATAACCTACGCAAAAATGCCACTGAAGAGGAGATACATCAGTGCTCAACACAGCAGATAGAGGGGGAGGAGAGGTCTCGGTGTCTAAAAAGTATAGGCCATCCTTCTCATGTCCCTAACCAATCATCCTCTTGGTCTGGAGGTCTTGCAAAACACATGAAGTGGGAGAAATGGTTATCGAACAGTGCAAAGCTTGAGTCAATTAGCTAACAAAAAGCAAATTAAATGGAAATTGAGGCACATAGAGACCATGGGTAAGGTTAGGGATGGAGTGGGGTGAAGAGGACCTTGACCACTGACAGATCGAGAAGATCCATTAGGAAGTATAATAGTATGATCAACAGGCCTAAGAGTATCAAAAGAGAGGAATTACTAGAGATATGGGAACTAACACCAAAGTCTTGGAGCCAAGGCTGAGTGGACTTAGCCACACAAGCAATATTACTTGAACTAGTCATAGTAGTGGTAAAGGATGAAGGTAGACTAGGTTGGAGAGACTAGACAAGAGCAGTAAGCTCACTAATCTAAGTAATGAGTGTCTCGTGAGAATCAGCTGGAGAAACAATAGAGCCAGCAGAAAATAAGGAGGATTGTAAGGATGGAGTATCTATAACCAGATGTACATGGTCAGGTTTGCCATACTTTTGTCAACACCAAGGTTCAGTATGACCTTGAGAACCACAAGGAGTACATTTGCGATCACCACGTGTACGAGAACTCGGTCCACTACTACCTCCATTATGTGAATCAGCTCCATGAGAACCACCACGACGAAAACCACCTGTGAACCAGAATAAGAACCCCATGGACCAGATGAGCCATGAAAACCCCCTCGAATAGGCCCACGATCTCCACTATTAGAGACTAATGTAGAAGATGACAAAGTAGAGAACGCAGTGGTGGGTTGTGCCTGTCCCAATGAAGAACATGATAGCTGAGAATAAGCATTAGTAGCAGAAGGTAAAGTCTCACCGGCAAGAATCTAATACTTGAACCCCGCAATTTAGGATCTAAGCAAGAGAGTAAAGAAGCCATCATAAACTCCTCTCAATGATGCTTCTGTTTGTTCACATCAGTGGTAAAGGGTCAATGCTGCAATAATTGATCCCATAAGGTCTTGAGACTACTATAGTAATCAAGAAGGGACCGGCCATATTGGCGCATAGCAAAGATCTGCTCATATAACTCATAAACCTGAGAGACATTACTCTGATTCAAAAAACATTCAACAAGGGAGTCCCTAATTTCCTTCGAGGTATCACAAAATTCCATGGTAGTAGTAACATGTGGTTCCAAACTGCCAAATCCAACCCATAACACAAGAATCCTCACTACACCAATCATCATAAACTTTACCATCAGTGGCAGGAGGAAATTCGCTAAGGAAGCGGGACTTCTTACCACGCAAGAAAATTTTGACAGCATGAGCCCATGCCAAATAGTTGGCACATTCAATTTCTTGGTAGTGATAGATTTAGATATGTCATCATCTTTACCCACAGCCATAGCTTTAGCCTCAATCTCGGCCATGACAATCAATCACACAAAATACTCAGCAAACAAGCATGAATGTAGCAAAATACTTGCAAATAGTCAATACCCATAGCAATCAACACCCACAACAACCAAAAAGGCATAAATGGGGAAAACACAGATCTACAAAACAGATTCAACCCCAAATGAAACCAACACAACAACCCATCGGCATGAATCAACACAGAAGAGCAATTATCCCTTGCTCGAGGGATTTCAGCCCCTATAGAGTAAATTCCAATAGGTAGAAATGGAAAATTGAGTTTGCCGAACAGATTGAGGCACAAAATTGAATAAAAAACTGACCCAACAGCAGCAAAACAACAAATTAACACCAAATATCACTAGAGAAAAGATTTTCGGCTCCTATAGGACTAATTTCAGAAAGAAGAATCAGCAAAAACAAGGTCCAAATTTAGAAAACATGAAAAACATTCGAAAATAGATAACTTAAAGGATGATCGAAAAATTTCACGAAAATCACCATAATTATCAAGAGAGAATTTCAAGTCTAGTGATGTGGGTTTCGCTAGTACAGTGCTTTCGTCATGCTGACGTCATTGTACGACTGATGACGTCAGTACGTCTCGATCATCTCAGCTCAATCTCCAGAATGTGTAGAACACTTTCCAATGAAGAATAGATTGTTTTGACACCAAGTTAGAATGTAAAATGGAGAAATTTACTTCTCGTTTGTTTTCAGAGGTAGAATGGAGGGGATTAATTGTGAGGGGATTGATAGTGAGAGGATTAAGTAAAATTGTGTTTGTTTTGATGATAGTTGTTAGTGTAGGAATTGTTAAATTATTTTTATATAAAATAATAAAACAAATAAAAAAATATAAAAAATTAAACATTAATGTTTTAAAAAAAATTCCCAATATGTAAAAAATAAAAAAAAATAAAAAAATTTCTAATCCCCTCACTATTTTTTTAATACCACATCCGCCTCCGCCTCCGCCTCCGCCTCCACCTCATCCATCCTAATCCTCCTTTCAACCTTCATCTTAATCCCCTCCTCTATCCTAATCCCTTCCCCAACTCTACAAACTAACACAACACTAAATAGCCCCACCTCCATCCTAAGCCCCTCCCATCCTTTACACCCGAAAACAAACGGGGCCTTAGGGTTAGGATTTAGGAGGAAAAAGAAGAAGATGAGAGAAGAGAGGAAGAAGAAGAAGATGAGAGAAAAGAGAGAACTTTTATATATTTTAGACTTATGTGCTCAACTCTACATTAGCAAAATATATATACAAACCCTAACATTGCAATATGACCATCGTATCCTCAACTTAAGTAAATATTAACAGAATAATAGGAGAATAGAAAATAACTATTCTGACAGCATATACTTCGCAACTTAAATATCAAGATTCACGCAACAATTGCAATGCAAATTAGTTGTAGATTATCAAAATACACTGATGTATTCATATTGTATATGTGTAAAAACATATTTGGAGTGAGTAAGTTGCATTCCAAAGAATACATAACATCTATGTTATGTGGACTAGAGTATGAGTATCTGGTGTAGGTGTGTATCCAAGCATCAGACCTTCATAAATTTAAATCTTAGGATCTTGGGATACGTATCGAAAATTAGATTTGGGTACGGGAACACGTCATATGCATATATATATATATATTGCACATTATATAATATTCTCGGATGGGATGTTGTAAATTATGTAGAAATAAAATAGGATTTAGGAAAAATATGAAATTTATGTATCTGATTCATGTAGGAGCCTAAAAATATTGCTTTACTTCATGTATTGTCATAAATTAAAGGATCCGAGTGTCTAATAAATTGAATACGAGTGTCGGACATATATCCTACACCCTTTCCCATGTCATATCCGGGGGACACGGGTATTGTGGGGGAAATAGAAGAGTCCATGTAACACAACATAACATTGTTATTATGAAGAGATTCATTACATAGGTTGTGTTTGAAGGGTTCAAGAAGTGTCATCGAAGTGTCTGAGATTATAAATATATATTTTTAATTAGGACATGTTGAAGAAGTGTGGGACACATTTTTTAGGAGTGTCCAACACGAAATGCCTCCTCCATAGAAGTGGCCGTGCTCCTAGGTCGAATCTGATTGGTAATTTTTTTGTGACAATTTATCTTGATTAACCTCATCAGCAATATAAATGTGCACACTGCATAATGTTATTTAATGTGTTTCTTTGTTGAAATGGTGGCATTTCTCTCATCGATGATTTCATTTAGCTTGTTTTCTTGTGGTACATATTATTCTTTTCTTAAGTTGTATTAACTATATTACCTTCTTAGGTTATATAGAACCCATGTTATGGAACTTACTGTTAATATTTCTCTTTCGTGATTGAGAATTATTTCTAATATTCTGGCAGCATTTTTAATATTTTTGGTGCTCCACTATTGTAGGCCAAACTTAAAAACATTGAGTCACAACTAAATGAGGCTCTTCATGCTAGAGAGCTTGGCTTAGACTCGAAGGCTGTTGCTCAACCTATATTTAAAGCAGCAGGCGATGGCATGGATTCTGTTACAGTTACCAAGAAACTCGAAGAAGAACTATTAAAACGCGATGCCCTCATTGAGGTTAGTTATTCTTAACAATTCTACATGTTTGGGGCTTCTACTGTTTAAGTTGTCATATATAATGTTAAGGCTTGTTTTTACATGATCTATGTATACTATGATGCTTATTCAGACATCATGATATAAAAATCATGTAGTTTGAACTTCTGTTGTCTCTATGTGCCATTCCGAGTTTGGACATTGCATATTTTCTTATATTGTGATCTCTAAGATAATACAATTGTCATCTTGACTTGGGGTGAGCAATGAGTAATCTGTTCCCACTGGAGAGAAGGAGTTTTTCATCATGGGTCCATCTTGAACTTGGTTTACTATGTAGTAGGGCAGCTGCAAAATTATTTGTTCATTGAATAAATATGTCTAAATTGAGGATGTTGAGGTGGTACTTGTTAAAATGTGCTAGTAAAAGGGCAAGGCCTTGCGTTACGGTGTAGGTAGTAAAGAACAACAGATGCTGGTCCATAATTTATAAAATTATGTGGCCTAGTTACAGTGATATGGAAAAAAGAGAATATATGTAGCCAACTTTGGTGGTTTGATGTAGTCATGTTGAGTTGAGTTGATTGTTTTAAGTCCGTATTCCTTTTGGTTAGGATTTTCACCACACTCGATAGGTGATTGAATAGGTAATTTACCCATCTAGTTTTTCTTCAAATGGATTTTGCCTAAGTTTTGTAGACCACGTCAGAGTTAATCTTTTAAGTATGATTTCCACCTCAGGCATTTAAAACTTGTGATCCCTTGGCAGATTTCTTTGAGCTTGGCTAAAAAATTTAAGGTCTCATTTAGGCTTGTATTGTAATGTTCAAATAACTCCAAGCTAACATAGGTACTTCTAAGGTGGCAAGTTGTGTTGAACACCGACACGATACAACACTTGTCAGACACTTCCCAGCACCTCTTGAATACATGTTCAAACTTGTCGTTTTTTCAAAAAAAAAATTTAGATTTTTACATGCTTTGAACGCTAGGGGAATATGCCTCTATTGCTTAGCCGTAGATATCAAGGTTGGTAATATCGGGATCCTACACAAGATTGTTTTGGGGGTCTGTCGGATCGGATCGTAGGATTTGATTGAGGATAGTAAGATCCTACTAAAATGATAAAAAAAAAAAGGCAATAATTTTTATATGACGAAGGCCTCGTTTGGCAAGTGCCATTTTTAGCCAAAAAGCCAAAAAGTTACTAAAAAAATCAAAAAGCCAACAACCCATACCAAAAGTCAAAGATTTCCTTTTCTCTCTACTTTTTGCACATCTTTTCGTAAAAAGTCAAAAAGTCATCCCAAACATACTAGTTTTTTTTTATATCACATTTTAGTTAAAAAGCCAAAAAGTTACTAAAAAAAAGATATTTCTAAACGAGGCCTAAGTAATAATATCAAAATTTATATAGAATGACCCCCCCAAAAAAGAAATATAGCAATTCAAGGTAGCATTCAAACATTTTTTTAGCAAAGAATTGGTATAGAGTTGTGCTAAACAAAATTTGTGGTTCAAATTAAAATAAATTTTTTTCAACAAAGTTAAGGGAAAAGAACCAAAGAAGAACAGCAGCAGTGGCAAAGAAGAACTGTAAGAAAAATTGATGTATATTATTGATTGATGTATTACAAGCTTGATGAATTACAATTCCTATACAATCTATATATAGAAGAAAATGTGGTAGTAGGTGTAGTGGAGGTGATAGTGGGTTAGGTGAAGTGGAGTGTGTGGTGAAGTGGAGGTAGGTGAAGTGGAGTGTGTAGTGGAGTAGGTGAAGGTAAAGATGGGAAATTCTAACAAGAACCAAGAAAAATGAAGAAAAAAGTAGGGCAGAAGAAGAAACAGAAAAAAATAAAAATAAAATAAGTGATTCGAAGTTCTTGTCAAATGTTTAATTGAAGTTCTGGTTTTCAGTCTCTCGTATGTTTGCTTTGATCAAGAACAAAATATATATATATATATATATACAAAGAAGAACAGTCGAACTACAGAACAAAGATGAGAGAAGAGGAGGAACAAAGAAGTCGGGAGAAGAAAATGGTGATTTGAACTACAGAGAAGAATTGAACACACAGAAGAAGTAGAAGAAGAGCAGCGAAGAAGGAGAAGAAGAAACGAAGAAGACAGAAAAAGCAAAAAAAAAAGAATACAGAAAAGGAAGATTCGAAGGAGGATACTTGGTTCCACAAAATCTGAAGCTTTGATGTCCAATTTCTCTTTCCCAATTTGTATTGCCCTAATCACAGCTCAGAAGGTCAATCTTTCTTCTTCTTTTATCTCGATAAAGGGTTGTTTGCTTTAAAGTTGGCAAAAAAAACTCCCTTATAAATCAGGATCACATGGAATTGCGATGCCAATACGATCCCACCGATCCTGATACGATCCTACCATGATCATGACGTGAGCCCGATCCAAAGTACGAGTCGAATTGAATGCTATATATTGGATCGTATGATCCTACGATCCGGATCGCGATCTTAACAACCTTGGTAGATATATGAAGCAGATTACAAGTTTGAATAAAATAACTTAAAATCCAATGATGAAAGAAAAATAATGTAAATTATACCTGTTCTTCTACTTTTAACTTTATCAATTATTATCTTTGAATTAAATAAGTATTTATATATAACATATAATTTATGCTTATCCGTACGTGTGACATAATAAATATAAAACAAATCAAATTAAGCTTTGTGTTCCACTCAAGTGGGGTCGGTTACATATAATAATTATATTTTGCACTTGTGCCCCCAAGTGTCGTGTCCTACGTGATTTTGAAAATTTTCATGTCAGTGTGTCATGGTGAGCCTGTCAAGCGGATCATGCCTTGCGACGTGTCTTGCTTGGTTCCAAGGCAAGGCAACGAGTGCCCAACAGCCCAATGCAATGTTGTGACAGTGACGAGTAGTCCACACTGCGCACCCACGTGCCCTTGCTGGCATGGTATGCACCCCATTTTTCCTACGAGGGTCTTTGGTGCAATTATGGAAGAATCCGTGCACTTTTTGCTGCTCGATTTTAGGTCCATATTGTAATATGAATAATGAGACAGGGTCTAAACTCCATTTAGACATTCATGAGCCATCTCATTCAGTGAACTTGTTTTATTATAATCACTAGCATGTTTGCATTACTCTCCGGACACAAGTGATTTGAGAGCAGTCAACCTCTCAACTGAACAAGCATAACATGTGCTAGTCTTTCTGGATTACAAATTACTAATTCCTAATTAGTAATCATATGTCTAGGAATCTCTAAGAATAAATTAACTAAAAGTATATAAATGTCCTGTCAACTTTAATCCTACGGGCTTATCATGTAAATAGTTGTAGAAATTTAATGTATTAAGAGAAAAAGAGAATTGTATTATTGATTGATGTTTGTAATTGTTGAATTATTGAATGCTACAATGATTCCTATATATAGAAGAGTAGGTGGTAGTAGGTGGTAGATGGAGTAGGTAAAGTGGAGGTGGTAGGTGGAGTAGGTGAAGTGGAGGTGGTAGTGGTGTAGTGGGTTTAGTGGAGTAGGTGAGGTGGTAGTGGTGTAGTGGGTTAGGTTTAGTGGAGTAGGTGAGGTGGTAGTGGTGTAGTGGGTTAGGTTTAGTGGGTGAAGTAGGTGATAGGTTTTAACAATAGTAGTACAAAAAGTGAACAAGAAAACATAGAACGTGGCCTATAATTAATGAAATAATATTACTATTTTACAAAGGTATCCCAAATCACCTCCCCGATCGCCTTTAGGGCATAAGATACACCACTAGCACTTCGTTGATAAGCAGGAGATCATATGAATTTTTTAACTGCAGTTCAAATAAGTTGCCCTGACATTTGGCTAAAAAATCTATCCTCTTAATTTGAGTAAAAATGATCAAAATTTCACGGTTATCTTTTTGTTTTGTAAGAAAAATTACAATTTTTGTGGTGAAAGTTATGAATGGCAAAGTTATGGTGTGCACCCCTAAGAATAACATAGTTATACTTTTTGTGATGAGCAAAAAGTTACATTTTTTTTTTGTGATGAAAAAAAGTAGTTTTGTTTGTAGTAAAAGTTATATACATTTTGCGATAAAAGTTTTAGGCTGGGTTTGGTAAGACTTACCAAAACTAATTCTACCCTTACATTCTAATCCTATGTTTGGTAAGAATTTTCAAATCATGATTTCAAATCAATTTCAAAACACATTTAGAAAACATGTTTGGTAAACTAGACATTTTTTGAATTTTTTGCTCTTCCTAGTTGTCCGCCCGGACATTCTCCCGGATGTTCGGCTGGTAGACCAAAACAGTACAAATTTTTTTTTTTTGCCATTGCCAATCGCCACTTGTTATTTGGGGGGAAAAAAAAAATTATATTTGTTTTTGATATTTTTTAAATATATAAATTATTTTTTTAGACAAAAATGACATTATTTTTTGAATTGATTTTTAAAAAGAGTTTAATTATGAGTTTTGAATAGAATTTTCAATAGAGTTTTGAGTTGTGTGTTTGGTTATGAGTTATAAGGTTGCGAATTAAGTTTTTAAAACTCTTTTCAAAACTCATAACCAAACAATTTTTCTCATTTCATATGTCACATCAAAAATTCAAAACTATATTCAAAACTTAATTCAACACTCTTTTGAAAATTTATAACTAAAATTTTTTTTCTTTTCAAATCATAATTCCAAAACTCACAAACTCAAAATACAATTTTATTTTCAAATCATAATTCTAAAACTCTACCAAATGCTACCTTACTTTTTGTATAAGGTGCATATCATATGCACTCTTTTTGGGGTGCACGTGGTAGCCTTTCCCTTAATTATATGCTAACATCATATTGATTGAAGAGTAACAATTGTGTACAGGACTCTCAGCAAGGAAAAAAAAAGTGCAAAGAAATAGATTTATGGAAATATTTTAGTATTTGAAAAAGTAGGTGTTTTACCTTAAATCATTGAAAAGAGTTGGAGTTCAGCTTTCCCAATACACACATACAAATGGCTCCTGATATTTTTCTCCTTGTGATTGGCACTGTACTTATAAAAGCCTATTTATTTCTTATATTTTTCTAGTTCCAACTTTTCCTTTTCTTACAGAGCTAAATATTACTTGCAACTTAACTAATTTCGTCTACTTCTTTCATTATGCAATGTTAAAGTGCACGTGGTGTTTTCCCTTTTTTTTGGCAGAGGCTGCATGAAGAAAATGAGAAATTGTTTGAAAGGTTGACAGAGAAAGCAAATTTGGTTGGATCTCCCCAGGTTTGTCTTATTATTATTTTTTTCTTTTGTTCTGGAAGATTGTGTTATTAATTATTATGTTGTCATGACTAAAATGTTCCGTGGTCAGGAATCAGGATGATTTAGAGTATTACAATATTTTCTTGTTAGGTTCATTCTTTCCTTGTTTGTGTATTATCTATCTACAGTCAAGTCTATGAATATGCTTTTGGCTTATTTGTTAATGATATTTTTAGATGTCACTAGCTTATGTTTATTTATGGAATTTTTTATTTTTATTTTTAGTGTATTGACAATCTACACTGTTCTTTCAGACATTTGAAAACTCCAAGTGCATGCTGTATCAATTCACATGCTTTTTTTGGTCATTTTTTTGTGTGTCATAATAACCAAAATAACCTATATATTTTTCTGTTGTAATAACCAAATAAACTGATAGTTGGGCTGCACGTCTGAACCAGCCACTATTTTGATTTAAGAAAAGAGTTTTGCTAAGTACCGCCCAATGGGTGTTTTTTAAGAACTAAATAATGCCAAAAAAAGTTTGAATTCTAATACTCATTTTATAAATTCCCTTAAACTTATATATATTTCTATACATATATATATATTTCTATACACTTCTCACATATTTCAATATACTTTTTACACATTCCAAAATTAACTACCACGCATTGGGCGGTGATGAGCATTTCCCTTGAGGAAATATCTTAAATGTAATGCTTGTTTAAACACTTCTACTCACCTATTCCTAGATGAAGTCCTTGTATAGAGTGTTGTTGATGGGTGATTCAGAGTTTACTTTTTGTCAGAAAGGATTGGAATGCTAAAAGTTCCTTTGGGGGTGTTTTACTTATATTATATATAATATATATGTTTGGGTGGCAGCTCAGAGAACTCTTACCATTCATAATCTGATGAAACTATGTACAGGGCATTTCCGGTTGTGAGAGGATTAGCTTATTTGGCTAGGTTTTTCCTCACTTTTTAGGTGAGTGGTTGTAGCTTGTAGGCTTGTAGCAAAAAGGGGTTTGTCTTTCTCGACCTTTTGAGGCTGTGTTTTGATCTTTGTTGTAGATCTTTCTTTTTTTGGTTATAAAATGTTTACTTACCAATAAAAAAAAAAAAAAAAAAAAAAAAAAGAGGAAATGGGGGAAAGTTCCCCATAACAGCTTTTGTGTAAGGAGGCAGAAGAGATCGAGTCATGGAATATCTTTGCATTCTTTATCAAGTGGCAGGTGAGGTTTGGAGTTTAGTGTTGGCTATGTTTGTTCCATTCTGTGGTTCAGCTTCTCTTTTGTTTGGGTACGGTAAATGTGAGGACGAAAAAGGTGTAGAAGGCAGCTCCACATTATCAGATTTGGGTCATTTGGTGTATTTAAGGGTAACAGTGTTGATGCTCTTTGTAGGTGAGAGGAGTATATCAATGAATAGACAAGTAGGTTTTTTGGTTATGGTTTAGTTAGGTGACTGGGAGGCTGAACCTGACTCTTTTGGGTTTTGTAGATTTAAGATATTTTATTTTTATAGTCCTACAGTTTTTTTTTTTTTTTATTTTTTTTTATTTTTATAAATCTATATATGCCATGTGGGTTGTGGTGCTTTATTGGCCCTGTTTGGTAAGGTTTATTTTCAGCTTTTAGCTTAATTGAAGCTATTTTGATGTGTTTGGTTCAGCTTAACAATACAGCTTATAACTTTTTATGAGTCAAAAATCAACTTATTCTTTGAGTGGGGGAGGAGAAGCTTAATTTATAAGTAAAAAATCAGCTTATGTTCACAGTTATAAGTTATAAGCTGTTAGGCTATAAGTTATAATCACTTTCCCACAGCTCTACCAAACAGGGCCATTGTATTCTTTACACTGGAATTCTTATTACTGATACAAAATAAGGGGTTAAGACACTTGAAAAAGTTGCATGTAAATCTTGGGCGTAGATGTGGTCGTGATCACATCATGTTAGATAAACAACACATCTTGCATGTCAAGAATTTGGGACTTATGAACACAGTTTCAAATTAGAACAACAGTGGCTAAATATTTTAACAACAGTATGTGGATAATATAGATGTGTTGAACCCACACTATAGTACATTTTACTAATAGTATAACCCTTGCCAGTGTTTATGCTGTAACATACTCTTTAAATATTTAAGTACTCTGGCAGAATGTGGACACGGTGGGTTTTAGGATATCTACTATTGCCATTTAATGCTCTCTGACCTGCAAAGATTAATAGATCAAAATGAAGTTACTCCCATATTTGGTCTGATAACTGTCTTGGCCACTGAGTGGAGCTTCTTTTGATGTTTATGCTTCTGTTTTTCATCTGATGGGTAATAGATTTCTCACATTGGTGCTCTGACTTCTTTTACAGGTGTCTAGTCCATTGCCCAAAGGTCCTGCTAATGTTCAGGCTCGGGACCTTGGGAGGTATAATTTCTTGACCTCTTGAGAATGATTGTAGTGTTTTGTGTTTTTTTGATGTTATTGTGTTAATTTCAGGTTTCTTTTCATTTCTTTAATGAAACAATTTTTGACAGGATTGATAATAATAATAAAGGACGTTCTGTTGATGTTGCCCCTTCACCTTTGGCCCCAGAAAAGACTGAAGGCACCATTGCTTTGGTTAAATCAGGTATTGAGAAGGTCAAGACAACCCCAGCAGGAGAATATCTAACTGCTGCTCTAAATGAATTTGATCCTGAGCAATATGACAGTATTGCTGCCATTTCGGATGGAGCAAACAAGCTTCTGATGCTGGTATGCTTACTATCTCTTTCTCTGTACAGTCCAGAATGGAAACCTATGTAAACTACATTAAGAAGGTGCTTTTTTGCTAGGGTCTTTGTTTTTTGTGCCGTTGTTGTTACTGTCCACCTAAATTTACAATTTTAACCGAGAAAGAGGACCCTTTCATCATTTATGGCTCTTGGGTTCAAATGTCTTTCAAAGAAAATAATAAAACAAATTTCTTCTTTTTTATTCTTCTAATACCAAGAAACTCTTTTAAATCTAAATGTTGAAAAAGGATGACTGCAAGTGGTTGGGGTTCAAGCTTTGTGGCTGGAATGCATTGAAAAGTTCATTGCAGTTGATTGAAGGAAACATGTGTTAGTGACAAACATAATTTTCCATAAACAACTTATTATGCTCAGATTACCAAACATATGAAGATTTTCACGGTATGATTGGTCACTAGATAGCATATGACTTGGGTTTGAGGAGAAGGTGTCCTGCGTAGAAACTGTGTCTGATATTTTGGTGATGCTTATATGGGAGATTTATCCCTTTTTTGCATAATTTTTATGGTCTAGTGACACCCTTTCTGATGGTTGACTTGACTGACACTTCACTACTTATATTTATGATAAGAAGACATTTGAATGTTGAAATAAAATCACGATCATTTTTCTGTGTTCATCTTGAGTAGGAGTGGCCAGCATTAAATAGGGTGTTATCGCAATATTGCAGGTTTTAGCAGCAGTGATTAAAGCAGGTGCTTCAAGAGAGCATGAAATACTTGCTGAAATAAGAGATGCTGTTTTCTCTTTCATCCGTAAGATGGAGCCAAAGAGAGTAATGGACACCATGCTTGTTTCACGTGTGAGGATTTTATATATAAGATCTTTGCTTGCTAGATCACCAGAACTGCAATCAATCAAGGTAATAAAGCATTTAGCTTTCCCTAATATTTCCCTACCAATATATGCTGTCACCTGCACTGTTTGGAGGTTAGAGATGTTATTCTTACTTCTATGTTAGGTCTCTCCTGTTGAGCGCTTTTTGGAGAAGGCTAATACAGGGCGCAGCAGAAGCTCCAGCAGGGGTAGCAGCCCTGGAAGATCTCCTGTACGATACGACTCCAATAGGAATTATCTGGTTGATGAGCAGATTCAAGGCTTTAAAGTAAATATAAAACCAGAAAAGAAATCCAAGTTATCTTCAGTTGTTTTGAAGATACGTGGAATTGATCAGGTGGGTTTTTCATAAATTTTGTTCCCTCTCCCTTTGTTTACTTTCTATAGAATAGATGGTTCAGCAATGATGGGTGGGGTGCTTGTCCTAGGCAAGGTTGTTAAAATCGGGATCCTAGATAGGATCGTTGGGAGGGACTTGTGGATTGGTTCGTAGAATTGGATCGAGGGTCGTAAGATTCTACTTTTAATGTAAAATAAAAAAATAATTTTAAAATCATTAAAGAAAAGTAATTAATTTGATATAATGCATCTTTTATGTTGTCATAAATCAGAAGAGATGTTTGTAGAAAGAATTTATAGTCAAATTTCTTGTATAGATATACACATATACATCCATATATAAGAAATAAATAATAGTAATTTTTTTTTGTAGGATCGGGATCGTAGCGCAATTCTACACGATTTGATGATTAGGATCACAGGCCTCGTTTGGGATGCTACCTTTTTAGCCAATTAGCCAAAAAGTTACTTAAATTAACCAATTAGCTAATTAGTCATACCAAAAAGTCAACAATTACGGATTCTCTCTACTTTTTGCACAGCTTTTCGTAATTAGTCAAAAAGTCATCCCAAACATACAAGTTTTTTTTACCTACCTTTTTAGCCAATTAGCCAAAAAGTTACTAAATTAGTCTGTTCCCAAACGAAGCCATGAGTCACTGTAAAATCCTACTAAATTTAATATCCTAGTGCAATCTGGACTGATTGACCCAATAAGAGTCGTAGGATCTCAAGATCCTACTATCCGGATCCGGATCATGATTTTGATAACCATGGTCCTAGGCTTTGCATGTTAGGTGTGAGAGAAGTCCCACATCACTCGGGTACAAAGGGAATGTGCAATATGTAAGTGCGAGGGCACCATCACTTATCAAGTTAGCTTTAGGGGTTGAGTTTTACCCAAACAGCATCCTCTGTGTAGTCAGAGCTCTTGCCAAAATTTTAAGTCCTCTTCTTCGATAATCTATCATAGTCAAAACTCTAGGATTGCATTTGGGATTCACTTTTCCATTGTCACAGGCCTTTGTTGGGCTTCTCAGTCGCAGTTTTCTTTGTGAACCCACATGACAACCCCATCTTCTTTGCTTCCAGTTGATATTGTATTCCTTCTTGCTTATAGCTTCCTTTGTCACGGTCTCTTCAGGTCAGCATTCTCTCATTGCAGGTAGCAGTAAATTTTGCTCTCAGGCGAAGTTGTCGCAGTAACTTTTGCTTTCGCAGTAACTTTTGCTTTCATGGCTGCTTTTGTTTTTTTTGTTTTTGTAAAAGAAGATGAAACTGAGCTTGTCCTGCCACCTGGCAAAGTAGGAAGGGAGCTGACCTTGAACTGTAAATGTATGTAATACATGAGCTCACTATGTTCTTGAGTGAGCCTGAACACTTTGGATACTGGCAGAGGCAACTTCGGTGTTGCTTTGTGTGTGACTGGTGATGGCTTCCCTTTTGCTCTCCACTCGCTCTCGTCATAACTAGACTATAGCGGTCATCAGTCAAAGCTCTAGAGTTATAGTTCCTTACTAACCCTTGTATTAAATAAAGTTCATGAAAGTTTTTATACATTTATATTCTCTTAGTACTATGTTATTATGTACCCACTTATATGCTACTAGAGATGCTCGTGCTGCCAGATTATTTTTAACCTATGCTACTCATGTGCTTTTGCTCTTGTTCTATATTTTCACTTTGCATGGGAACTAGCTGTGGTAACTATTCTCTTGTGGAGATTCTTTTTGTTGCTATCAACATAAAACTTGCTCCTAAAACGCATTGGTGTCATGTGTCTCTTCTTAGCTTCCATAAGCTTTGAATGATATATCTAAACTTGTGTATGAGAAATTGTACTCCAATGAACAGGAAACGTGGAGACAGCATGTGACTGGCGGAAAACTTAGGGAAATAACTGAGGAAGCCAAAACATTTGCTGTTGGGAACAAAGCTCTTGCTGCTTTGTTTGTCCATACTCCAGCCGGTGAGCTGCAGCGACAAATCAGATCTTGGCTTGCAGAGAACTTTGAGTTTCTTTCTGTCACGGGAGATGATGCTGTAGGAGGAACAACTGGTCAATTAGAGCTTCTTTCAACTGCAATAATGGATGGTTGGATGGCTGGACTTGGTGCTGCCCTGCCTCCTGCTACTGATGCTCTTGGCCAGCTTTTGTCTGAGTATTCAAAGCGGGTCTACTCCTCTCAATTGCAGCATTTGAAGGTATCTTCTTGACAGTTTTTTTTTTGGGTCTAATGTTTATTCTCAAGTACTTTCATCTGGCTTAGTCATTATACCTGTGCAACTGATTGACTCACATGAGAATCGTATACTTGTACCCTTCTTTTTTTGTTGTGCTTTTGAAAATGTTTGAACTCTGCCAATTCCTAATACTCTAAATTGGTGTTTATCAGGATATTGCAGGTACCTTGGCAACTGAAGAGGCGGAGGACTCAGCACAAGTAGCTAAACTACGTTCGGCTCTTGAGTCTGTTGATCACAAGAGAAGGAAGGTATATATTTTGGTTCAAGAAACAACATTTCTTGTGCTGTTTTGATCACCCATATGTGTTGGAAAATTTACTTTTCCGAATGGTTGTCAATTGAAAAAAATTTAGGAGGACCACAATTGATTCTGCTTTCAAGATAGTTATGCTGCATCAATTGTCATTTTGCTTGAGCTCTCACCTACATCATTCGTGCTGTAGTGATTGTTGTAGGTGAGAAATTGTTGGGTTAGACAAGGCTTTTATTTATTTATTTTTTTAATCATTAAAGGGTTAGACAAGGCTATTGTGTTTATAAACATTAGAATCGGACTTGGAATACATAAGGAGGCAATGTTTTGTTCTTAAAATTTGGGCTGGCCATATTGGGTGGGCCATCAGGCCCATGGCCTATACCACTGCCACCCCGCACGATCCATTCCCTTTTCACCTTCACATTCCCTTTCCTATCATTCCTCTACTAATGGTTGAAACCTACCACCCAATTTTTCTTCTAATTTTCTATTGCTTTTTGAGATTTGGTAGGTTTGGTGGTCAGCATGGTTTTGAGATTACGCTGGGTTTAGGTTTGGATCTAGGGACAAATGTAAAAAGCTTAATTTATTTTAGAGACCACGGTGGGAAACTTTATTTTTTGTAAGAACCAAAGTAGGAAACTTAATTTTTAAATTCCAATTTTCTCTTAACCATGATGGGAGTTGGTAATTGGACTAAAATGATGAACGACTGAAGCACATGCTCTCTGAATGCAGTAGGTAACCTAACAATGAAGTATAGGTTTCAATAGATGGTAAAATAGTAATCCTAGGAGAACAAGGGGTTAATTTTCTAAGAAATTCGCTCCAGACATGCAAACGTATGTGCATCAAAATATACATGTGTTCGAACAGTAAACTAATGCATTCGAATGGAGAAGCTACTATTTTATGACAGTGCTACAAGTGTCAAAAACAGATTGTCCTGTGTTCAAACTAAACATTATTGTGTTTGAACTAATGAAACAATGGACAACTTTACGAAAAGGAATAATGTTCTCATTTGGTTCAAATGCACGTCTCTGAAAGAATACGAAGCTATCTGCACTCTCCAGATGTGAAAACTCCAATAACCAAGTCTATGGACTCTGAAAAGCCAATCCCATTAGCCAATGTAATCTATTGTCCAAAGCTAAACTAAGGTCATGAACTCAAAACAAACAAAACCGAAAAGGCTAATCTACTCAACAATTTTATTGCAATAAATACATGAGTTTTATCTTCACACTGAAGTCAAGTCTGTCTGTAAGATCAAGGCTTGAAGCTAAAGTTGGCTTGATGATACTTCCACTGCGGAACATGCTCAGGACCCAACGAAGACTGAACATAAAATAAATATTACAGATTCAGTCTTTGAATGATATTGCAAACACAAAAATGACCAATGGGGTACCTAAACATGTTTCCTCACACAACCCTTGGTCTGGCTATGCCTGACCTGATTTTCAGGCCTAACCAAGGAAGACATTAACCAAGTTTTTAGGGATGGAAAATTGACCATTTATGTATGATTCTAATTGTTATCCACTTTGGTTGTTGTCAACTGTGTTACATGGACTCTTCTATTTTTCCCACAGTACCCATGTCCACAAGATATGACATGGGTAAGGGTGTAGAATATGTGTTCGATACTCGTACCCAATTTAGACACTTAGATCCTTTAATTTGTGACAATACATGAAGAAGTAAAGCAATATTGTTAGGCTCTCACATGAATTAGACATAGAAATTTCATATTTTTCTTGAATCCTATTTAATTTCTAATATATTTCTACATAATTTACAACATCTCATTCGAGAATATTATATAATGTGCAATATATATGAGTATATGACGTGTTCCCCGTACCCTTATCCAATTTTTGATTAGTACCCTAAGATTCTAAGATTTAAATTTATAAAGGTCTGATGCTTGGATACACACCCGCACCCGATACTTGTACCCGAGTCCACACAACATAGGTTGTCAAAGCAAGGACAGTTGTCCGACCTGAACTCAACTCGACAAGCTGTTGTCCCAATTACTTGTGTTTGGCTACATAGATTCGTTACCTCCATTTAGCTCTATTAAAAACTATGTCTTTAGTTAGGTGTAAGGCAATAATGTCCTTTCTTATTATCTTAACCAATGTCCTCCTTGGCTTTTCTCTATTTTGTTCACTATCTATAATAATTTGAATTTAGGAATGTGTTACTAGGTCTACATTGCTTATACACATACCATCTCAACCAATTTTGCCTAAGTTTAACTTTAATTGGTGTTATTTTTAACTTTTCCCTAATGCATTCATTTATTTCTTTCACCTTATTTTATTTTCTTCTAACTCCATTCACTCATCTCAAAGTTTCATTTCAGATACTCTTATTTTCTAAACATATTTTCTAACTACTTAACATTTTTGCAATATATTGTAGTAGGCTTAGAAAACTTTCCCTTTTAACTTCTGCTGGAATCATTTATTTCATTCGAAAAGTTTTAATTCACCTATAATCAACTAATACTTCTGTTGTAATCTTTTATTTAATTTTAATTCTATGCTTCATAAATAATTGATCCAAAATGGCAAATGTTGTCACTTATATATGTATCTCTTGGTCAGTTTTACTCCATCTTCTTTTTTATTTCTAATATTGTTAAAATTACACTGCACTTTCTGTATTTGTCATATTTAACCTAAAACATTTAGATATTAAAGTCTCTCCGTAGTTTTAGCTTAGAGATCTCTCTTCCTTTTTCATCAACTAAACTATATTGTTGGCAAACATATACCAACTGGTATCCTTTTCAATGTGCTCGGAAGTTGATTTATAACTTTTGCAAAAAGGCAACAACTTAATGACATAATGTTGATCACTGATGTAAGCCTATAGTCACTAGAAATTCCCTTGTTTCTCCCCTTCATACTCTCTGTTAAAACCTATCACCTACTTCACCCACTAAACCTAACCCACTACACCACTACCACCTCACCTACTCCACTAAACCCACTACACCACTACCACCTCCACTTCACCTACTCCACCTACCACCTACTACCACCTACTCTTCTATATATAGGAATCATTGTAGCATTCAATAATTCAACAATTACAAACATCAATCAATAATGCAATTCTCTTTTTCTCTTTATACATTAAATTTCTACACTCTCACTCTTTTACAACTCTATCACATGTCTTTAATGGCGTTCATATACCTAATTGATATTCTTTTCTTTATAGATTGTTCACATCCATGTCTCTGGTAAGCTTATCGAAAAAAAAGAAAAGAAAAATAGTTGGTACCGTCCATAGATGTCTTGATTAGGGAAAAAATGTGCACGCTTTGCTGGAAGCAGCATTCTTGTTCATCTAGGAGAGCATGCCTAATGAAACTTGCTTTTGAACTCCATTGCTCACAGTTTTTGCTCATAGGAAGGTAGTGGACCAGGATAGTTTCAGTTTGGTGCTTTTTTAAATACCAAGTAGGCATCATTCTATATTGAAGTAGTGCATGGAATTTTTTGGCATATTTGGAGGGGTTTCTAGGCCCCATTGAGGGTAAGCTGACATGCCCTTGTAAGCATCCTGGCAGAGTTTTGCTTCTAGGAGTTTTCTGACTGCTCCACAGTTATCTACTATCCTTATTGTTTCTAAGACAGGTTAATTGTATAATGGTAGGCCTGGATTGACCTACCAGTATCATTCTGAAGCAATTTTGTTGTGGATAAGCAAAAAGAGGAAGTTGAAACCTAAATCTGCTGATTCTTGCACTCTGAATTAATAAACTGGCTACTTGCTTTGTACAAAAGAAGTCAAGAATCTGGAATGTTATCACTTATGAAGCACAGGTACGAGTATTGGTACTGGTACGATACGGGTAAGTCAATACGGTAAAATCCAAAAAAAGTAAGGTACAAGTAAGGTACAAGTACGGCTTGGCACGTTTGTAAAAAAATATTTATTTTTATTTTGGAGTTTTGCAAAAATTATTTAAATGGTTTAATTTGTTAAGATCCTATCTACAATTAACATTTAATGTCAAAAGTAAAGGTATAAACTAAAATTATGTCATTATATTAAATAACTTACAAACAGTAGCTTAATTTTAAAATTATGCTAAGCATAAACCTAAAAATAAAAAAGAAATCTAGTGAGAGGAATTTTGGCTATGTGATGTGATTTTCAAATCAAGTTTTTACCCTTATATTGGAATGCTATGTTTGGTTTGAGTTTTGAAATTATGATTCCAAATCAATTTTAAAACACATTTTGAAAACATGTTTGGTAAACCGGACAATTTTTGAATTTTTGGTTTACTCGGTCGTCTGCCCGGACATCCTCCCAAATGTCCAGCCAGTCGATCGGCCGGTTGACCGGAGCAGTACAATTTTTTTATTTTTGATTTTTGCAATTGTCAATCGCCACTTGTTATTTGGAATAAAAAATTATATTTGTTTTTGATATTTTTTAAATATACAAATTATTTTTTTAGACCAAAATGACATTATTTTTTTGAATTGAATTTTAAAAAGAGTTTGATTATGAGTTTTGAATAGAATTTTCAATAGAGTTTTGAGTTGTGTATTTGGTTATGAGTTATAAGTTTTTGAATTAAATTTTGATAACTCTTTTCAAATTTCATAACCAAACAACTTTTTTCATTTCATATGGTACATCAAAAATTTAAAACTCAATTCAAAACTCATAACCAAACAAATTTTCTCTTTGCAAATCATAATTCCAAAACTCATAAACTCAAAATATAACTCTATTCTCAAACCATAATTCTAAAACTCTACCAAACACTACTTTTATCTTTGTAATAGAAGAAAATATTATTTTGATTGAGGTACGATACGGTTTTGGTATATACTAGGTACGTCTGTATACTCCAAAAATTAAGAAGAAAAATTTTGAGAACGTGTTTGTGTACTCCGTATGTATGTGGAAGTACCATACGACGGTAAATACCCGGTACGGGTATGGCATATTTGTCGAAGTTCCCATACTTCATTGGTTCTCACTTTGTATTGACCATCCAGGCTTCATTGAGGTTTCAATTGGGTGAAACGGAATTTTGAGATTAGACCAATCCCCTTAATAGAATTCTATTGTAGTACCAAGAACTCCTTCTTGGTTAGAAATTCAGAGATCTGCAGAGAATTAATAATTGGACTACTTCACTTGCTATAAGAGATGGGAAATATAAGTTATGATTGTTATAAATACATCACTTGCCTAAATTTTGCATGGTTATATTTGTTGTAATGACATTGACCTTGCATATATTAGTGGGTGACCTTGGAATATCATCAACTTGACCTACTGTGACATTACTGGTTATTTTTCCGTTGTCAGATATTGCAACAAATGAGAAGTGATGTGGCATTACTGACATTGGAAGATGGTTCACCTGTTCGTAATCCTTCTACTGCAGCTGAGGATGCACGCTTAGCATCTTTAATTTCACTAGATGGCATATTGAAGCAAGCCAAGGTTCTCACATTCTTATAGTTTGTTTTTTTATGTAATTGATGATTTGTTTATTGTACAAAGAGAAGCAAGTAACATGAGAACATGCAATAATTCTTGCAGGACGTAACACGACAATCCTCTGTAAGCACATTGGGGAGAAGTAAGAAGAAAGTATTGCTTGCATCTTTAGACGAACTTGCTGAACGGATGCCTTCCCTACTTGATATTGACCATCCATGTGCCCAGAGGCACATTGCAGATGCTCGTCGTTTGGTAGAGGTACGTACAACTTTCATAAATGCTGCTAAAAATTATTTCTTCATTTAATATTTCCTGTTTATCATTGTTATAGAAGAATACAATAAATTCCCCAAAATGATCTACGTTCCTGTAGTAGCTTCTCCTTTGCTTGTGCTTAGGGGTGTTAGACATCAACAAAAATTCTGAAATAGGAAGTGTTTGTGACAGTTGAGGCTGAGAGGCTTCTCTTAGAGGGTGTATGGTGGGTATGGTTTTTGTGGTAAAAATGAGGATAGAGTATTTTAAATTCTACGTTGACTTCTGACCTGGTGGTGACCAATACTATGTATAAGAAGAGAAATGAGTATTTGATAACTTTTAAGAGTGGGTCAATTAGAAGCCAAATAGATAACTTTCTAGTAAGAAAAGTGGACCATCTAATATACAGTGTCTGTAAGGTGATTCCTGGAGAGAGCCTGACGTCTCAATATAGGATTTTGGTACTAGATTTGTACTTTAGAGGACAATACTAGGTTAGGAAGGATAGTGGGCACCGTTGAATGAGATGGTGATACCTAAAAGGGGATAAACTAGAAATATTTAAGAATAGAATAGATGAAGAAGGTATTTGGGACTTGAATGATAATGCTAACACTATGTGAAACTCAATGGCTAATTATATGAGGTGAATCTCAAGGAAAGTCCTTGGAGAGTTGAAAGGAAAGAGATCCAACTTTAAGGAAATTTGGTGGTGAGGGATGAGGTTTAAGCGGTTGTAAAGACGAAAAAAAGGTGCTTTAAAAAGTGGCAGGAGGATAGAACTGAAGAAAACTTTAAAAATTACAGATTGGCTAATAAAGAGGTCAAGGAACATGGACGAAGATCAAAAGGGGAAGAAGTAGCCAGTAATAAGAAAAACCAAAACTACAGGTTCTATCGTAGGATTAGGAACTTTGAAATGGAAATTGCCCTTGAGAAATAAAATCAAGTAAGGCTTTAGGACTAGCTGATATCCCTATTGAAGCTTGGAAATGGTTGGGTAAGAGGGGGTTTGCTTGGTTGACTAGGTTATTTAGTAAGATTTTGTTGACTAGAAAAATGCTAGAGTGGAGGAAGAGTATTTTAGTGTCAATCTATAAGAATAAAGGAGATATCCAGAATTGCAACAACTATAGAGGAATCAAGCCGATGTGTCATATAATGAAAGTATGGGAGAGAGTGATGGAACGCCGATTGCGACATATAAAAGAGGTGTCAGAGAATCAATTTAGATTTATGTCCGGTAAGTCCACAATGGAAGCAATCTATTTGTTGAGAAGGGTAATCGAAAAGTATAGAGAGAAGAAAAGAGATATTCATATGATTTTTATCAATCTTGACAAAGCATATGATAGAGCGTTTCGAGATATAATCTGATGGATGTTAGAGAAGAAATGAGTGACAAAAGGATATATTGATGTGATTAGAGATATGCATGAAAGTGTGGTGACCACTATTAGATCGTCAGTTGGAGTGACAAGTGAATTTTCAATTACTATGGAGTTACACCAAGGATTAACATTAAGTCCTTATCTTTTTGCTTCAGTTATGGATGTGTTGACGAAAAATATTTAGGATGATGTGCCATAGTGTATGTTTTTGCATCTGATGTCATTTTAATGGATAAGACTAAGAAGGCATTCACGTTAAGTTGGAGAGTTAGAGAGAAGCACTTGAATCTAAAGGATTTAGGATAAGTAGGACTAAGATAGAGTACGTGGAGTGTAATTTTAATAACAGTAATAATGGAAGTAGAGGAGAAGTGAAGATTAAGAATCAAGAACTACCTAAGAGTGAACATTTTCGTTATTTATGATCGATTATCACAACGGCTGAGGAGATTGGAGCAGATGTGGTTTATAGAATTAAGGCGGGTTGGCTTAAGTGGAGGAGTGCGTCTGAGATACTGTGTGATAAATAATTACCCACTAAACTAAGTAGTGTTTTCGGATGAGGAAGAAAAGGAGGATGTGGAGGGATATAAATCCAATGATGATGAAGGAGATGATGGAGATGACGCTTATTATTAAGTTCTTAGGACAATGCATCCATGGGACTAGTCACTAGATGTTTAGTTGTTTTCAATTTTGTGGATTATTAAGTTCTTATGTTTGTTGTTTGATGTTATTTTCATGGTTTTTGGAATGTAGAATATTGTTTTGTTCATTCTGGAATTCTATAAATATTTGCTTATGTTGAAAATTGTGCTATATTGATATTTTGCTTAACTTCTATAGCTTGCACCTCGCTTTGTTGAGGCACGCACATCGGCGCTTAGGCTCTAGGTGACCTTGGTGTCCCGATGCGCCTAAAGCTTTTTAAAACACTGCTAAAAAGGAAGTTTTATAGAATAGCTATTAGACTAGCAGTGTTGTATGGGACGGAATATTGGGCAACTAAGAAACATGTAGATAAGACGAGTGTTGTTGAGATGAGGAAAATGTGTGACAAGACTAGAAAAGAATAAGTATATTCGTGAATGGGTAGGCGTATCATCGATAAAAGATAAACTCTGAGAGAATAAATTGAGATGGTTTGGTCATATCTAACGGAGACCAACAGACCCAGTAGTGAGGAGATGCGATACAGTTACGGTAGATGGAAATGCTAGAGGAAAGGGCAGACCTAGATTGACGTGAGCTAGTGTAGTAAATAGAAATATGAATCTCCTTAATTTGACTAACTAAATGGTCCTTGATAGAGTCGAGTGGAGAAGAATGATTCATGTGGTTGACTCCATTTGATGAGACTTAATGTTTGGTTTGGGTTGGTTTATATTTCCTTATTTTATCTTCCATAGCTGCTATATGTACAGTCTCGTTTATTTGTTTATTCCTTAATATTGATGCAGTCAATTCCTGAAGAGGATGACCATTTACAAGAGACATCACAACCTCCCAAACTGTCAGATTTGGGATCTGGTGCTGAAACTGATGTGGCACAGTGGAATGTGCTGCAGTTCAACACAGGCTCTACCACCCCATTCATCATAAAATGTGGAGCAAACTCAAACTCTGAGCTTGTCATCAAAGCCGAAGCTCGGGTTCAAGAACCTAAAGGTGGTGAGATTGTGAGAGTTGTTCCAAGACCAACCATTTTGGAAAATATGAGCTTGGAGGAAATGAAACAGGTATTCTCTCAACTCCCCGAGGCTCTAACCTTGCTTGCCCTTGCTAGGACAGCAGATGGAACCCGAGCTCGGTATTCTAGGCTGTACAGGACTTTGGCCATGAAGGTTCCAGCTCTGAGGGACCTAGTTGGCGAGCTTGAAAAGGGGGGTGTACTGAAAGATGTGAGACCATAAGTGCACAAAGGCCGTCCTTGCTAGGACAGGTTTTTATTTATTGTATTGTTGTCTTCTTGTCTTGTGTTTATAGCATTTTGGAGGCTGTGGAAGGTAAATCCGGATTGTGATTTTATTGTCTGGTTTCTTCGCCTTTCTACTTGCTGTACCCAGAAACTGTTTACATTTGTTGTGTGCGGTATGCATACATCTCCGTAATGATTGTTGCAAACAATTGAAATTTTGTGTTGTAAAAATTATACATGATTTATTTTTGTGTAATATTTTGAACTCTAGCATGATTTCTTTGTTAAATTCTTAGTTTGGCGGCCTTTTTCTTACCGGGTGAGGTTCTTTGAGTGGTTGTTTGGCAACCCAATATAACAGACTGCCATTAAAAGTAGCTTGGTTAAGATTACAAAAATGGAAACGGGTATGGTTACACAAGTTGCTGTGTTCTTTAAAGTTCGGTCCAACCGGGTACTCTGTATTTTTTCTATGAAGAGTATTTTTTTTGGGGGGCAAATTTCATTTTAGCCCCTTATAATATGACTCATGTGCAGATAATTCTCGTCATTCGAAAATAACCAAATAACCCTTTTATAATTTGTTAACCAAAGTGCACCTCGAACCTTTGTAACATAAATCGTAAATATTGACCTAAATGTCCGTTTCTTTTTTCTCTAAATCAATCTATATTATTATTAAAAGTGAATATCTATTGGGTGTCCATGAATTTCCTTCTCTAATTTTGCCAAGTGATTTTTTTTTCTTGGGTCAAGTATTGATTTCTTCATCCAAAAGGGAGAAAAAAAAAATAATAATATTTAAAAGAGGGGCACAAGACTTGAATTTAAAATTATTTACTTATTAAAAAATACTTTCATCACTTAAATAACATAAAAAATGTGTTATCAATTTAAAAAGCACACCTAATGGGATGGATTAACTCCCCTAATATATATATATATATACACTCCAAATTTATAAACTAATATCTTTAGCCACCATTGCTTTCCTGTCCTACCTTACAGTTTACACACCACTTTTCCTTTCAAAGTAAATTATTAATTAATTTATTTTTTATTACAATTTTAATTTTAAGTGAAATGACTATAGATGATAAGTTATGATACACACCATTTGTCTATTTACCATAAAGGACAAGAATCAATATAATATAATTCATCATTTTCAAACTTGTTCCTTACGTATTTTTTCTGTCAAAAATCCAAAAACCCTAAAATCAAAATAAAAAGCCCTTCAACAAATAATCAAAAATATAGTATTATTGAAGATTTTGATTGGATTCAATAAAGGATACATCTGACAATTCTCATTCGGAACAATGGAGCAATGAAAAGGTTATTTTTTTGTTGTTTTTGTCTTCATTTTCGTGTATGAGTGGTAAATCGTTGTTCGGTTAACCAGAGGTGAATAATATATCATTGTTTGGCAAACTACAATCGAACAATTTACGTATGTTCGACAAACTATAATTGAACAAATTACATATGTTCAACAAACTACAATCGAACAACTTACATATGTTCAACAGACTGCAATTGAACAAATTACATATGCTCAACAGATTACAATCGAACATATTCCATTTGTTCGACTATCTAAAACCGAACAAATGCAATTTGTTCAGATTACTAAGGTCGAACTATTTCATTTAATTCAACTCTGTACTGCCGAACAATTATAAATTTTTTATTTTATTTTATTTTTTTTCAGAACTGTGCATCCGTGGAATGTAGTAATGTTGGATTTGGGGGTCTTGTTGAGCACCAACGACGTCTTCACCACTGCTTAACTCTGTGTTGAGCACCAACACAGTATTCACCGTTTGAAACTGAGAATGGAGAGGGGAAGATGGATGAAGACTACAATCGAACAACTTACATATGTTCAACAGACTACAATTGAACAAATTACATATGCTCAACAGATTACAATCGAACATATTCCATTTGTTCGACTATCTAAAACCGAACAAATGCAATTTGTTCAGATTACTAAGGTCGAACTATTTCATTTAATTCAACTCTGTACTGCCGAACAATTATAAATTTTTTATTTTATTTTATTTTTTTTCAGAACTGTGCATCCGTGGAATGCAGTAATGTTGGATTTGGGGGTCTTGTTGATCACCAACGACGTCTTCACCACTGCTTAACTCTGTGTTGAGCACCAACACAGTATTCACCGTTTGAAACTGAGAATGGAGGGGGGAAGATGGATGAAGGTGGGTGGGTGTGTGGGGGTGTGTGAGTGAGTGAGGGTAAATATGGGAGTTTGTGTGTATATTGTTGTGGATGGGTGTGTGAGTAAGGACAAATATGTAAATTTATGGTGTGTGATGAGCAAAATATATATTTACTAAATAATTAAAGGTGTGTTTTTAGAAGTGGTTTGCCTTGAGATAATTGATGGTGTGTAAATAGAGGCACCCCTCACAGTGTCTAACAAGAAAAAAAAAATGCTTAACAGCAAATAACAGGCACCTATCAAACGCACATGTTCACCATCTATTAAAATCTCATTGTCATTTCTCCAATTTAATTTTCAATCCAATTGATAATACAGTTACTATACAACGGGTCCCAGGTGGAACGGGTCGGACTAAACCACGCTTCTTCAACCGGTAACTGAGTGTTCAAGCCCACCAGAGAACCTGCACACAGGTTCAACAGGGGAACGGGGAGTCCCCCAGCAGACCCTCCGACGAGCAAGTTAGAGAGAGAGAAGTGTAATGTAGAAATATGAATTGGAGATAGAAAACTTAACCTTCTTCTTGTCTTCAACGTCTGCTTATATCCTTTGGTAATCATTTCGCCGTCCCTTCCGACCTCCCACCTTGGCCGAAAGTCTATGCTGTAGTTTACCTTGTTCAGGGTAAAGGGGGTGCTGTTCCGACGGAGAGGTGTTGTCGTAATAAATGCTGTGATGGACTGCATTAATGGCGATGTGCAGTGGCAATAACTTTGCAGATCTTTGTCTGCTGATGTGGCTTGTCCTTTGCCTGCCACATGTCTCAATACCATTGGTCCTTCATGTCATGTTGATTTCCGGCTATGCTGGGCCTTATCAGTTGGGTTATGCCTTGGGCCCTAAGTGGTAGGCTTAGGTTGTTCATAGTGGGTTATGGCCTTTCTAGGCCTAACCACATCACCAATAATACTATATGTGGTGTGTATGTGTGATACATTTTTATTTTATGGGAGGGATTATGACGGCAAGTACATTTATTGTGTGTATATAATGTAATATATGTATGTATTATATACATAAAATATGTCACATGTTGGTTGTGGCAGGGCTGAGTTTTTGGACTACGACTTATTTCAAGATGGAAAGAAGGCTATCACAATGGGTGGGAAGAGAATCATGGTGGTTATGCGGGTGTGAGACTCACGGGGTTGCCATTATGGTTGACGGGAGTTGGGAGTGTGGTAAGAGAGATAGCCATGATTTTGAGATGGTAATGGAGGGCTAGAAAGAGAAATAGTAGAGAGAGAAATGATGGGGGTGTTTGCGAAGATGGTTGGATTAAAATAATCTATTCAAATATAAAATAGGTTAAAATAGCTAATAAGAAAATGTCACATTTAATACATAATCATTTTATTTATTTTTTCAAAACCATCAAATCAACTAAAAAAAAAGTTAACTAACTTTTTAAACATAACTTTTTGAGTAAGGTTAAAATAATCAAAAAGCCAAATAGCTAACTTTCCGAACAAGGTTGGTAGATAGAGGAGGTCAAAGAATCACATTGTTTTGTGAATTTGAAAGTGTACGAGGGGTACATTTATCTTAAAAATTATCATACTCTACATCTCGATGGGAGGCCCGACTTGCATCTAAAAAAGTAGGTTGGACGTCCTAATTTAATGAAACATTGTTATTACTATTATATCTCCATTTAAAATGACAAAAAAAAAAAAAAAACAGTGCTGCTATTAGCACTCTATAAATTATTTTAGACCCCTCAATTTTTATCTTTTTTTATTACAATAATAATCTCAAACAAAATTACTACAAAAGACGTCATTAATTTTGAGATACCCCATCTCACAATTAAACTTACACACCCATTATATCATGAATTAGGGTTTATGAGAGCACCCACCTTCATCACTACCCATCCATCTTCTCCAAATTCCACTTTCAAAACCTACCCACCCTCAAAACCTTACAAATCCTTTGGCGGCAATATTCCGGCGGTAACGGTGGCAACCATTAATTACGTACACTTTTTCGGCAATGACAATGAGTGTAAGTTTTTTTGACAACTACAATTCCATAAAAAGAGAGAAGTATAACAATAAAAGTTTAGAGGAGATTCATAGCTTTGATGTTCTTAGGTCAGATGAGATTGGCCTTGTAAGGGTAAGTTTCTTGAAAAAAAATGGCAAAAATAATAAAATCTGTTTGTTATTTTTTCTGGACTAAACTCCTGAACATATGACCGAAATTCAAGAACACAGGCCCAAACATTGTTTATTTGTTCAGGAACCGGTAACCGAACATTTATTATTTGTTCGAAAATAGGTAATTGAACATTATTCATAGGTTCGGACTTGTTTTCTTGAGAAAATTAAACCAATTATTATAATTTTTTTCTGCAAGAGAAGAAATTATTATGAGCAAACTAAGAAATTATGTGTATATATATAGAGAGAGAGAGCATACCAACTGTGATAGATGAGACAGCAGAGACAATAATCACATTATTTCTTTTTTTTCGTGGGCTTTGTTAGGTTTTTTTGGAAGTGGGGTTTTTTTGGGGTGTAGGGGTGTGGGGGTATGCATTCAATGGATGAAATGTTTTCACAAGGACAATTTTGGTATTATTTGGAGTGGGGAAAGAAATTTTAAGGGTTTCAAAATTTATAAGTGGGGGTCCAAAGAAATGGGAGTCTATAGCTCGACTTTTTTGTGCCCTCTCTCGGAAGACGAATAAGCCTTACAGTATCAGACTCTCGCGGTTCTAAATCTAATCTCACAAGTGCAATGTGAAATAGATAAACACTAAAGAGTCCCAATCCGGCAAATCTTTTTGGAAAATCGATTTTGAATCAAATTGCCAAAAATAGACTGCTTTGCCAAATGCAGAGTCGCCACCTAAATGTTTTTGAGAAATTTAGGAAACCCATGACTCGTGCCAAAGGCCACGTGTCTGTCATCACCAAGATTGTCTCGGCTCGAGAACTTAGGTATGAGATGAAAATTTCATGAATTAAGCACCCACGCTTGCTCGATCAAAGATCGGCCTTTACTAATCATGATATGAATCTTATCTACAT